TATATATATATATATATATGTACCTATGTGCATGCCACATAGGAGACATATAAGACACAGGATATAAATCAGTTTATTTAACTCTCTGCTCTTAGAATGACCCCCAGGGGTCAGTGGTGGCCATCTTTACAACACAGACCAAGCAGTCTAACACATCTTTTGTCCATTATCACTCCAAACAACAGCAAAATCTACAATCTTCAGAAATAAAAAGATAGTTGCCAAAACAATTTTAATATATATTGTGGGTTTTTTGTTGTTGTTGTTTTTTTTGGCTACAACTCTCGCACAAGGGCTGTGACTATAGTTTCCTCATCAAATTGACATTACTCGTCATGTCCTAATGGAGTTCACATTTTACCATTACTTTAATTTTGTGCTTTACTTTTGCATTTACTAAACCAATAGTGCCCCTCTATAAGGAGTTCACATTTTACCATTACTTTAATTGCCCCTCTATAAATACTTCTACAAACAGCGTAGCATTTAGCATGTTATCCTGCAGTTTTTAATATTTATTTTAAATACATATTTTTCATACCTTTTAAATATGGCAATTTAGGTCTATTTATATACATATATATATATATATATACACTGTATATATTGTAGCAATATGAGTTACCTGTACATGGTGAAGAAAGAAGGTATATCATAATCTCTGAGCAACAGAAGGGTAGGTAGCCATCCTTCAATTAGACCCTGGTTAGCATGGAAACCTGGAGCAAAAAGGGAAACAACTCAGCACTTACACAAACGAAGGACCTTATTATTCAAGGAATAACTACCATATTACACACGTATAAACTTGCACCTAGCTTTTTATCATTTTAAAAACCACGGGTGCGTACTTACCGAAAAGCATCTTATGGACTGGTGAAGGTGTACAACTTTTTATTTATACTCATTTTCCTTGATGTTATATCGTTTAATATTCTAGAATGATAACAAATGTGCACATTGTTTGAATGAAACAACAACAACTTTGAACTGCTAATGAATGTCCATAGACATTTTTTTCGTTGAGCAAATTTTTTTCCTCCATGTCACTGATGTTTTTCCTTGGATTCCACAGCTCAAGCTAGCTCTGACTAACGTACCAAACATCTGAATTTTCCTCTGGAACTTAGCTGTTCCTTTTCAAATGCATTTTTTTAATTTGGTAAATTTGGATCAAATCTTTGGTCTGACTTACCTGGGTGAAATCCCACCACCAGGTCCGGCTTAGCTGCCTCTTCTTTTTCCACCAACTCCTCCCAGAACTGGTGGTAGAGACCCTTGTAGGCACTGATGAAGACCATTCGCCTCGGACCAAATGCCTTAAGTGGAGGCCTCAGGATGGGGCCATTTACAACCTCGGGTCCCACCATGACAATCTCTATGCCCTCGTGTTCAGGGAACATGTGGCCAAGCTCATCAAAGTCGGTCAGCCTGGCTCCCATTGTCTCATTATGGGACGCCCCTGCTATGTGAACAGTAAGGGGCTTCGTGTTTGGATCCAGGCCACACATCTGAACGGCACTGCCGACAGTGAGAACGCGAGAAAGGAACTCGCTCTGAAGGCGCCACAGAGACTGTCGTAGGTCAGCATCATCCGGCCGCGTCCTGCTGACATTTTTCCAAATGGTTTCCATGTTTGTATCAGCTATCACTGCGTCCAGATGTGGTGTCAGGTCCCCCCTCATGCAGATCCAGTCCTCCCAGTTCTTCACCTCAACCGCCGGTTTGGACCACTTTTCAGTCGGCAATGGCAAGTTACCTGTGTGATACGATGTGGACTATTGGTCAGGTGTTTTGGTATTGACACAAAATATAACCTACTATTTGTTTTGCAACAATGTATACTCAAGCATTTATTAACTTTTGAAGGAAGAGGAGTTTTATATTTCCTGTATTTTCCTTTTTTTTTCTTTCATCCTTTGGCTGGGTTCGCAACTTAAATATTTAAATATATCATTTCACCTTATATTCCCACTGACAACCGCTAGAGGGCACTATAGGCGCGTGTATCAGTATCTGCTACTCCTGTACTACTGAAAATTTACATGTGTTATTTTGACACTGACAGGCACTAGAGGGCGCTCTAAGGCTTGTGTACCAGTATCTGCTACTCCTGTACCACTGAAAATTTACGTGTTCATTATTTTTTACCCTGACAGCCGTTAGAGGGCACTCTAGGCTTGTGTACTATTATCTGCCACTCCTGTAAGTCACACTTTTTTTCCATCCTTCGGCTGGGTTTGTGACTCATACTCGGTAACCACTGACCGTTGGCTAATACGTTATCACTTATGATAAATAAGGAAGTTATCTGCAGTCCCTCAGATTGGTGACATGTAAGGCTGCCTCTTACTTCTGTACCTTTATCTTCTCCATAAGAATTATTGAGTCAGCCATAAATAAAAGGTGGTTAAGGAAGCGGACTTGGCTCTGGAAGGTTTCACACGTGCTCCCTGGGCTCCTAAGCTGCCCCCTGCTCACTTTGGTGATAGGCAAAATGCAGAGGTCGCATTTCGTTGTGTGAGCAGTGGTGTGCTGTGTCACAATGACAACTAATTCACATTTTTTTTAGAAGCTAAGCTCCTTAGGGAGTAAATATTGGCAGCATTTGTCCATGCCAAGGCTCAGCCATTCAATTGGTCCTTTTAGTACCACCACTGATCACAAAAGTTGAGTTTGTTTTTTTTTAATGGATTTAATGTTTAAACCAAGGTTAGCTGTACAGTTTTGGCTGAGTAATGGAAAAAAAAAACGACATCGACAACCCGCTGTTGGGCTGCAGAATTTCAAGGCATTTGTATTTTCCAAACTCTAACTATTGGCGTTAGGGATCATAACTGACCACCAAGTCCAAATCCAAAATCAATTCAAAGTTTCAACAAAATCTGCTCTAATGAATTGTTTGGTTATAAAGGAGATATTTTGAATGTTTTTTTTCAATGTTCGTACATTTTCGATTGGGGGCTGTGGTCGCCTCGAACATCGCAGGTTTGTTTTGTGACAATTTTGTTTGGTGGTGTGCAGAGGGGGTTCTTTGAATGTAAAATATGTGCTGTGAAACACTGGTCTAGAGTATTCAGTCGTGGAAAATATTCCATTCCCTGTACTCACATAAAAATATGCAGCTAGCAAAATGTCCCGCAAGGACTTCATAAACGTATGGAATATTTTTTACAGCTGTTTTCAAATAATATTTGAAAATGTTATACCAAGAACAAACAACCTTAATTGGGTCTCACCTGTAAAAATCAGCCATTCCACTAATCTGTCGATGGCCACTAGTCGCAGCGTCTTGCATACTTTTTTATGCTGAGACCAGTCTTTTTTCTGACAGTCCTTGGTGCAGTAGTATACATTTAAGCACCTGTGGGAAAACAAAGGAGAGGATTATATTAAATCGTACTCAGGTCACACAGGTTAAGGTTTCACATAAACAAATGTGAGGGGAAAAAAAACTGTGCTTTCTATCAGGCTTTTGATTAACACGAGAAATAATGTGTTATACAACATGAAAAACGAATGTAAAAACAAATGACTGATATTATTGCACTGACTAAAAAAGAAGTATAGGTATAAAATATACGCAATATCACTTTTTTTAAATGAACTATTTCCTTATTTCTTTTCATTGTCATGTCGAATTTTGTCTGGAAATGATGCGTTGCTTATACCTGATTAGTAATGCAGAAATTAAATATTAAATATAAAGATGTACTGTATGTAATATATTTGTACTTCTTTGCATGAAAATAAAGGGGACATTTTTTTTTTTACGTGACTAACGTTATTGTTATTATTAGGTAATTATGTTTTGGTTGTACTAGTCCAGCTCACTTGACATCTAATTGGGTTGAATGCCAGACCTAAACCAAAATGAGTTCCTATCCTTCAGACTATAAGTCGCACTGAATCTTACAGGAGTAGCACATACTGGCACACAAGCCTACAGTGCCCTCAAGTGGCTGTCAGTGTAGAAATAATGAACGTGTACATTTTTTAGTGGTACAAAAAGTAGCTAAAAAGTTACTGGTACACAAGCCTAGAGTGCCCTCTAGTGGCTTTCAGTATGAAAATAACAAACGTTAGATTATATATTATAATATATAAGTCGCACCTGAGTAGAAGTCACTGCTTGCTAATATAAGTCGCACCTGAGTATAAGTCACTGCTTGCTCGAGAAGAACTTGGCGTACAAGGGACACATGTACCAGTTTGCATAAAGCTACACGTAAATGCTTAAGGTTCCCATCATTCAGATTGTTTTAGGCACCAATGATTAAAAGGTCAAAGGAAGGCCACTTCATGAAGAGGAGGTTATAGATCTGCCAGGCAAGTGAACGATCCCTTAAGCAGTGATGATAAGGTGTGCCGCGGGAAAGTATCCAGAGTCACTTAATTGGTCCCAAAACTATTACTTGTTTTATTGCTGAAGAAGATCTCTGTGAGTGTCTTTCTTCAATTTCTGCCAGTGCATCAGTGTTGTCTTCAACTAAACAGGAGTACATTAGCACATTTAAACTAGAACGTTAATATACTTCATTACATATACTTTTTGTGAGACTCTCGTTTGGTGGTGGTTCATTACATATACTTTTTGTGAGATTCTCGTTTGGTGGTGGCCCCTTTAATAGGATCCCAATTAAAGTCATTTCACTGAGTTTCCCCCGGTAAAAGGAGAGGCACAACATCTAACCTTTTGTTATGAACAAACGGCACGAATCTTAAAACTCGGTCGCACTCGGTAAAAGGCCACCCATGAACACACTGAATGAAACAATGGAAAATGGTAATGAACCATTAAAATGGCTTTTAATTACACCGTGATAACAATAATGAATTGTAAAAAAAAAATCTAGACGGAAATAGCAAGTGCCACAGACCTGTTAACATTTATCACACCCATGTGTCAAAACCTTTTGAAGGTTTTATGTGTCCTTCGCCTAAAAAAGCTTGCGCGGCTGCTCGTAATGAGCACTGCAGCAGCAGCTGGGAATTTAAAGAGGACCAGCATGCACGACACGGTGAATCTGAGAAGGAACTTAAAAGAGGGAAAAAGAGAGAGAGAGAGAGAGAGAGAGAGAGAGAGAGAAGACACGCTTTTATGCAGGTTTAGTTAAAAATCCACCATCTCTATACTGAGTGTAAAACGTCTTTAAAAAACACTCAACTCTTCCGTGTGAGAAGAAACTAGAAGTTGTCAAATAACTCAAGGTGAAGACATCAAATCGACAAAAAGCATAGCTGTTTGGAACCCCACCCGAAGAAAACAGACAAAAATAAATACAATGGCACCAAATCCTCCACTGGAGGTCACCAGTTCATCCATCCATCCAACTATTTTCATCCGCTTATCCGTTACCGGGTCGCGGGGGCAGCAGTCTCTATGACCTCCACCCCAAATCACATTGCACCATACCAACCCCCCAAACCTTCCTGCAGGTGGTGAGTTACCAACCGCCCTAACAGGGATTCGATCTTTCCCAGGAGGTGAACCCTGGGGTTCCACACCAATGACAGAGGCATTGCCTCTGGGCCAAAGCACCACAGGTCACCAGTCCATTTTTTTTTAAATTAAATATTTGTATAAAAGCCTTCAATGTGTGCCACCTCCCAGTCTCTGTGACTCGAGAGTCGAACCCGGTGGATGTCCTCATGTCAGCTGCTATGTCTTCCGAGGGCTAGGCCTCTATCAGCATCTATGTAGCTGCTGTAGGGTCAGTGTTCAAGGCTGTATCGATACTGTCCTAAAAGCCAGCAGGTGTCCCCACGTTGAGATGCCAGCTAGGATCAAATCAGTGCTTCTTTAAAAATATACAAAACAGTAATCCAGATTTTTGAAAAACCATCCTTTTAAAAAGATGGAACACTGTTTAAATTTGAATCAGTTCAAAAGCACATTCTAGAACCCAGTGGTGGGTAGTAACGAGTTACATTTACTCATTGTTGTTGCATTTACTTGAGTAAGTCTTTCAAAATAAAATACTTCTAGGAGTAGTTGTAAATCATTACACTTTTTACTTTTACTTGAGGAGATTTATGGAGAAGAAACAGTACTCCTTTGTCATCAGAGAAACTGGATGAAGTTTTAACTATCCAGTATCCAGTTCTCTATACAGCCATGATCCCGTATCTCTACTTTTATTTTGTCAGAGAGAGACTTTTCCGCCCAAGGCTCTACCGCGCGATTATGTTTAACCAATGATACGTAGCCCTTGCCGTGCAGTCTCGTCACGTTCTAGTAGAAACCCCAGGTTGTTGGTACGACTAGGGAGCCTGTCAGCCCTGGTGGATGAACAATGAACTGCAAAAAAACATGATATTCAGCAGAATAATTTTTTGGAAATTTCATTGTATTCTCGTGTCAGAGAAAAACCTAAAAAATAAAAAAACTTAATATACTGTATATATATAGGATATATATAGGATATCACTTGCTCAGATCTGGCAATCTGCATTGTTCCGCTAAGTCTCTGCTTATATTTTACACACAAATTTGTGTTTAAAATTGGTTATCAATATACATCAGAGTGATATCACCCGAGAGCAGAAACTCAATAGAACATAACAGCTGGTGTCCTTCCAGATATGCGACACTTTATTTGCTATTTTCAAATAGAATGGATTAAATGTCAATGTAAATAGTGATTTATTGTGGCAAAATGTTGGACGACCTTGAAAGAACGTCATTACTGCCTTGACGCGGTGCAGCTACAACTTCCCTCATCATGGCTGATCAACGATGCTAGTTCAACGGTAGCATTGCTAGAATTCTAATTATTACGTAAAGTTACATTTAGGCGTCAAATATACATTTTTTGTCTACGTTTACCGTAAAGGGTTATATTTGTAACCCATGTATTACAGTGAATAAAGTGTATTAGTAAAAATAATAAAAAAATTTTAAGAGAAACATTGAACGGTTCGTTCTTTGTGAAAACTGGTTTGAAAACATCTTATATTATTATGTCTTCCAGAACGAAAAAGTTGTTAATGTTATATTTAATTTAAAAATACATTGATTTTTTTTAATGTTTAAAATGTTGATTTACTCTTACTTTTTAAAAATTTTTTTGACTAGCAGCAAATATGTTGCTCCGTGTTTCAATTTTAAACGTGTGTTTTTGCACTCACTTCACGCAGCGTTTCAGGGACTGTCCTTCAGTTAGATGCTCGGGCAGTTTTTTGCAGCCGGTACAAAACTGAAATGTCTCTTCCATTCTCTGGAACATGTCTTTATAGTTTTGGAATTTGAAACCTTTGACCTTCTCCTGCACAGTGGTCCTGGTCAAGAGTGGAGAGATAAAAAATAAAATAAAAATAAAAAAAAAAACAGCTGCAGAGCTATGTCAAAATACATATAAACGGGGAAACTTGGAAGTATTTAAAAATCACAAAGATCACCAATAACAATCACTGGTAAACTCTTACCTGTACTCTCCGTAATCCTTCATATCCAGTTTGTTGAGAATCACCTTTGAAAGGCCGGGGACGTTGGAATCCAGAGAGTAAAAGCCAGACTGGTCGGAGAACACGCTATCGGTTCCGGGACTGAAGGACTGCGGGAGAGCTGGAGTCTGAGAAGCCATGTTATGGACTTTGCTCTTCTAAGGAAAAACAAAATGACAAAAAAAAGAAGAGAAAAATACAGAAAATTACAAAAAAGAAAAAGAATGGCTATACAGTGTTTTACCCTTCACTTTGCTGCCGCCGCGTGAAATTTTGTTCAGACCAAATCACTAAGTGAAAGTGCAAACGAGTTTTAAGAAAAAGTGCAAGAAAGAGGAGGACAGACTGCTCTGCTTTCAATCACATGATCGTCAGTGCTAATTAATACCAAGCACGTAAGAAGACTGAGATCACTTTGGACCGTACCCTTTTATAGGGGTCACCGTAGTGGACAGTCATAGTGATACTGTTACAATACTTGATGGCCTTCCTGAGCCTCAGTAATGGCACTGTGTAGCTGTGATACCATGAGCAAGTTCAGGATGTGTGTCATACACACAGACGTCTTGGCACATATCTTCTAACCTTTTGCATTCTGGCACTGAAGGGAACTTGATGCGCCCTGTTCAACAAAGACACAAAGACGAAGTTGGTTCTGCCTTCACGGGTTCTCGTGAAACGATGCACAACTTTGATGGACAAGAATGCACAGTAACATTAATCGAATTTATTTTACCTGTAATATAATACATTAACTGTGTTTGATGTTTTTAATTTTAATCTATAGTTAGAAATCCAGCAATAAAACATTTGGTAGAAAAAAAGAAATCTATGGAAAATAATTATGACCTATGTCCTCAACCTACTGTGTATCGTGGTTATCTCACCATCTCCCATAATGAATGGATGGATGGATGGAAGGAAGGATAGACGGACAGACGGACAGACGGATAGATAGATAGATGGATAGAGAGATAGAGAGATAGATGGATAGATGGATGATAGATAGATAGATGGATGGATGGATAGATGGATGATAGATGGATAGATGGAGAAATGGATAGATGGATGGATGGATAGATGGATGGATGGATGGATGGATGGATGGACGGATGGATGGATGGATGGATGGATGGACGGATGGATGGATGGACGGATGGATGGATGGACGGATGGATGGATGGACGGATGGATGGATGGACGGATGGATGGATGGACGGATGGATGGATGGATAGATGGATGATAGATAGATAGATGGATAGAGAGATAGAGAGAGAGAGAGATAGATAGAGAGATAGAGAGATAGATAGAGAGATAGAGAGAGAGAGAGAGAGAGAAAGATAGATAGATAGATAGACAGAGAGAGAGAGAGAGATAGATAGAGAGATAGATAGATAGATGGATGGATGGGTAGATAGATAGATAGATGGATGGATAGATAGATAGATAGACAGAGAGAGAGAGAGAGAGATAGATAGATAGACAGACAGACAGATAGATAGACAGAGAGAGAGAGAGATAGATAGAGAGATGGATAGATAGAGAGATAGATAGAGAGATAGAGAGAGAGAGAGAGAGATAGATAGAGAGATGGATAGATGGAGAAATGGATAGATGGATGATAGATGGATAGATAGAGAGATAGATAGATAGATGGATAGATGGATAGACGGATGGATAGATGGATGATAGATAGATAGATGGATAGATGGATAGATGGAGAGATGGATAGATGGAGAGATGGATAGATGGATGGATGGATGGACGGATGGATGGATGGATGGACGGATGGATGGATGGACGGATGGATGGATGGATAGATAGATAGATGGATAGATGGATAGATAGAGAGATAGATGGATAGATGGATAGATGGATAGATGGAGAGATGGATAGATGGAGAAATGGATAGATGGATGATAGATAGATAGATGGATAGATGGATAGATGGATGGATAGATGGATAGATAGAGAGATGGATAGATGGAGAGATGGATAGATGGAGAAATGGATAGATGGATGATAGATGGATAGATGGAGAGATGGATAGATGGATAGACGGATGGATAGATGGATGATAGATGGATAGATGGATGATAGATGGATAGATAGAGAGATGGATAGATGGATAGATGGAGAGATGGATAGATAGATAGATGGATAGAGAGATAGAGAGATAGATAGAGAGATATAGATAGAATGGTGGAAAAAAACTGATAGTTATTTAAGTTTTAGTTGTTATTTTAATTTATCAGTTGCTTTAATTGTGGGGACCACACTATATTTTATCTTTGATCCATTGATCCGTATATGTGTATCAATATATTATGGCTTGCCGTTCAGGAAATTAATCCTTAAATATATTGAATGAAAGTTTGAACATACCAAATAAAAGTTTGAATGTATTGAATGAAAGTTTGAATGTATTGAATGAAATTGTGAATATAAAGAATGAAAGTTCAAATATATTGAATGACAGCTTGAATATATTGAATTAAAATTTGAATATATTGAATGACAGTGTGAATATATAGAATGACAGTTTGAATATATTGAATGAAAGTTTGAATATACTAAATGAAAGTTTAAATATATATAATGAAATTTTAAATATATTGAATTAACCCTGACTATATTGAATTAAAGTCTGAATATACTGAATGAAAGTTTGAATATATTAAATCAACCCTGAACACTGTATATTGAATGAAAGTTTGAATATATTAGAGCAGATATAGAGCAGAACTATATATATACTGTATATATACATATATATGTATATATATACTCTACATATACTGCATAATCTCTGCTGCTATTTATATATACATATATAATACATACAGTATTTTATTTTATATGTATAAATACATAAATAAATATATAATGATTAATCACGATGTATAGGCGCAGCCATACACACACAAACTAAATCAAACTATTATAAAGGCCTTCAAAAACACATTCCACAACAACACTAAATCAGTATGTGCCATTACCATTCTTCGCTATGACCTCATCTGCAACAAGACGCTCCCATGTGAGAGTAATGGGAGACCGTGACACCTAAATTGAGTTCCTTATGTCAAGTCTACTCCATAATTTACCAGGTCTTAAAATTGACTCCCGGTATTGTCTGTTAAATGCTCCCTTCTATTTGCGGCAGTTGAAGGCTCTTATGTCTTCTTGGTGGGTCTTACCCCCTTTTTTAGGGATTGTACTATTTTTTTTTTAAAACCAGTTTGCAGCAACTATTTTGGGATGTATCACTTGACCGTGACCGTCATCTGGACATGTCAAGGGGCACAGATGGTTGAAAAAAAAAATCGGATCCTTTTTAAAAAAAATAAAAAATAAAATAATGACACATTTACACTGATAACCAGTGGAAAAAGGACATGTGTTAATTATTGTTTCTCTGTGTATGTGAGAGATTGAAGATACATCTGTTTTCAAATATCAAGCCATTTTTAACTGACCACTGTCCTCACACACACATTTCCCTGATGGTAAGAGGATCAGCCTTAGTCTCAGACCAGCACCCCTTCACCACCATATCCTGTCCTGTAACATGATTTATTAATTTGGCCATAATGCCAGTGAAAACTGAAGCCAATGAAATGTGACCTACTGCTCCATCAATCCTTTTGAGGGCTCACCGGTTAAATCATATTTAACAGCCTTGGTTTCTAGTTGATGTAGCATTTCACTGATACACTCCATCAAAGATGCTTTAGAACTGTTTAAGCTACCTCCTTAATTTAATTTTGCAGAGACGAAGTAAGTTAATTCAAACTAAGCTTTAATAGTAATATGTACATATATACAGTATATGTGCTTATATATGTAAATATATGCACATATATGTAAATATATGCACATATATGTACAACAGATATGAGGTCTGAGAGATACGAGAAACAACCATTAACATTTTTTCTATTGAAATATTGAGTCAATATATATATATTGAAATGTTTTTGTCATTTCCCATTTTTGTAGTTTGTCTCGCCTTTCAACAAAGATTTTGTTTTCCCATTCTCCATGCACACACATAATCTAGCCACAACAATAACTACAGGTTACTGATGAATGCACCAGCTACAGACAAATTCAGCGGTCAGTACCTGTGAATCCAGCGCAGCGGAGAGGCCTTGAAATGTATTCCTGGACTCCTTGATTCACTGAGAGGATGGAACAGTGTGAGTGACAGCTGTGGGTGTTGGAGGTAAACGTGGGGCCTCATCCTGTCGT